TTCCACGGCCTCTTCTGAATCTGGCTTGAACCTCTGGAAGTTCTCTGTCAATGTATGATTGTAGCTGTTTCTGTATTTATTACCATTAATGAAACTTTACTCGCATAGAATATCAAAGAGATTGTCTGATGACTTCTGCAATCCATTGGGTCACCTCTTTTTAGATTGGGCACAAATACGGGATCTCTTCCAGTTGGCCAGATAGTTGTCTTCCAAATTTCTTGGCAGAGATGAGTAAGTGCCTCCTGTGCTGCCTCACTTTCTTGAAAGATTTCAATTTTTATTCCATCAATTCCTGGAGCCTTGTTATTTGCCAATTCCTTCAATGCACCTTGGACTTCCTTCAGTATCATTGGCTCTTGATCATATGGTTCAACCATTTCTTTTTTGTACAGTGACTGGGTATTTCTTCCATCTTCTTTTAATGCTTTTTGCATCATTCAATAATTTGCATCATTCAGTAATTTGCCCAGAGAATCGTTCAATAACGGAAGTCCAGGCTTGAATGTTTTCATCAGTTCCCCCAGCTTGAGAACTGCTGAGCGTGTTCTTCCCTTTTGGGTTTCTGACTCCAGATCTTTGCACATTTGGTTGTAATATTTGACTTTAACTTCTCAGGCTGACCTTGGAAATTTTCTCTTCAGGTCTTGTACCTCCTCTGTATTTTCTGTAGCTGTCAAAAATGGGATTTGCCAAAGGGAGGAAAAGACGTAAACTGAGTGCTAGGAGAGTCAGTGGGAGATGAAGAGTTGGAGGGAACCGAAGGCCGAGTCTTTGGTAGCAGTGGTGGATGAGATCCAGGTCCCTGCGTGACTGTCCCCAGGTCATTGGGGGGAGCCCACAATGGTGAGTTGTTGTGTGTGTGTTGGAATCTGGTAAGCCTTTGAATTGATTGTTTGCTTCCGTTACTTGACATCTTCCAGCGTGCACTGGAGTTCTGGTTGCAGTCTGGTGTGGATGGATTCCAGGTCCGGAATGTGGAGAACCTGACGGTGAGCTCCTTTTCTGGGTGGGAGGCAGAGCCTAGGTGAGAAGGTCCCTGATTCAACTTGGTCCCTGATTCAACTTTCTTCTAGGATGCGTCCTTGTTCTTGACTGAGTGGCAGAATATTACCCAAAGTGTCAGTGAAGAAAGGTGGGTGCCAGGCTCCCTCCCCCAACTCAACTCATTTGTGGGAACCCCTCCATGGTGCACTTGGTGTTATTAAGTGCAGTTGAGTCAGTTCTCTCTCATAGCAACTCTGCATAGGGTTTCTAATGAGCAACTGGTGGGTTAGAACCACCGACCTTGCAATGAACAGTACAGTGCTTATCCTACATATCAGGACTCTCTGTGGAGCACTGTTGTTAAGTGCCACTCATAGCCACTCTGTATAGGGTTTCCTAGGAGCAACCAGTGGGTTTGAACCACCAGCCTTGTGATTAGCAGTCCATTGCTTACCCTAAAGCATCACACCAGGACTCTTGTTGTTCAGTGCCATGGAGTCAGTTCCAACTCAGAGGGAAATCTGTATAGGGTTTCAAGGAATGGCTGGTGGATCAAAGTCCAGTGCTGATCCTACAGTGCCACGCCAGGGTTCCAAGGCCCTAGGAAAGGGTGGGTCCTGGTTCAGAGGACTTTGCTTACTACTGCTCTCTCTTTCCTATCTTACACCACCCCTCCTTCTGCTCTGCCTACTGCAGACTCCTGATTGCAGGGACTGACTCCTCCAACCTTCAGGAGATCCTGGAGTTGCTCAACTCCACCAGTGATGCCATGTTGCTGACCAGCTCGTACTTGGCCAGCCCTAAGTTTGCTAAGGAACATCCAACGCAGCTGGTCACCCAGTATGTGAATGCTACTAGCCCTCGCTGGTGCAGCTGGACTGTGAGTGGTGTTGTGGAGGGAGGCCAGGAAGGGACATTGGGGGGGGGGAGGCGGAACATGGACTCAGCAGTGTGTCTTGTCTGTCCCTGCAGTTGTCTCAGGCTGGGCTCCTGACCTCCTTTGTGCCAGCTTCCCTTCTCCAACTCTACCAGCTGCTGCTCTTCACCCTGCCAGGGACCCCTGTTTTCACCTCTGGAGATGAGATTGGCCTGCAGGCAGCTGCCCTTCCTGACCGGGTACTGCTCGCTGTACCCGTTTGTGTCCACCCAGCACGCTGATGGCCTCTGGGGAAGGAATGTGTTTGATTCCTAGTCAGTTCTGTGTGGCCTTGAGCAAGTTTTGTTGCCTCTTCCAGTTGTCATCATCTCCTCTGCGGCACTGCGTGTTTAGCAGGGTGGTTAGGATTCAATGAGAGCATAGTTTGAATGCAGTATGGTAACCTTTATTCGTGTCCATCCATTCAATCCTCGCCCAGCGGGTGCTCTGTTAGGCTCTGTACCCACCGGAGCTCAGAGTTCAGTGAGCCGGGAAGAACGTAGCTTTAGACTGGGCATTGGAGGTTGACACATGAGCTGGTGTTTATAGGACTAGTCATTCTTGTAGTTCGCAAATTCTGGGCCACTCCTAGGAGCCAGCCACCCAGGGTACAGCAGTGTACAAAAGAGCCCGAGGTGAAGATGTTGGATAGTAAGCAAATGGAGTAGTGACGCCCGGTCCTGCTAAGTATGTTGTAAAGGTCAGCTGGGCAGGGGCCCAGGAGGCTGGGTTAGAGTGGCCATAGCAGAGGGCTGAAGGAAGTGATGGAGCTGACCAGCTGAGTGTCCGGAGAACTCAGGGGACAGTTTGTGCAAGGACCTACCCTACCGCACTTGTCCTATAGACTGTTTGGCACAAGGTAGGGGTAGGGTGTGGGAGGAGGAGGGAGAGAGAGCAGGCCCCAGGCTTTGTGCAAATCCTTTTTTTTTTTTTGCTTCCACCCTACGCAGGTCCCAGTTATGCTGTGGAATGAGTCCAGCCTCCCCAGCACCTTTGGGCTAGTAAATGTCAGCATGACTGTGAAGGTAAGGGGTTGGGTGTGACCTGGCCAGCAGAGGGTGGGCAGGTGGTTCTAGGGAGCCCTCATGTCTCCTGCCTTGTCTGCATCCTTCACAGGGTCAGGATTCAGTCCCTGGCTCCTTCCTCTCTGTGTTCCGGAAGCTGAGTGATAAGCGGGTCAAGGAGCGCTCTCTGCTGCATGGGGACTTCTACACCGTCTCCTCGGGGCCTGGTCTCTTCTCCTATGTCCGCCACTGGGACCAGAACCAGCGGTTCCTGGTCATGCTCAATTTTGGGGACCAGGATGTCACGGCCAAGTTGGAGACCTCTGGCCTGCCTGCTAGTGCCAGCCTGCCAGCCAAGGCCGAACTCGTGCTCAGCACCCAGCCAGGCCGGAAGGGGGGCACCTCCCTCGCGCTGCAACAGCTGAGCCTGAAGCCCCATGAAGGGCTATTGTTGGGTTACCCCTATGTGGCCTGACCCCCAGCCTGACCAGACCCCTCTTCCCTTCCTTCCTTCCCATACCTTCTTTTTTTATTGTCACAGATAGATGAGCCCCAAATAAAAGTCACTCCTGCCTGGCGAGCTGTTACCTTTCTCTCCCTCTGCCCCACAGTATACCATTTATTCATCCCAGGGAGCGAGGCCCAGGGCAGAAAAGGCCTGCCAAGGTCCAAACAGCATGGAGGTGTCAGCACTGGGACAAGTGTCCATACCTGCTTCCTCAGGAAGGGCCTGGGTGATCACCCGGAGCTCTCAGCTCCTGCTGCCACTCTCTCTTCTCCCTGAATGGTGATCTCCATTCGAGAATGGTCAGTTTTCCTGTGTTTGCCGACTCAGCCTTTCAGGAGGAGTGGTCCAGCTTCTAAAATGTGCATGACGTCACTCATTCCACAAAACTGTACTGAGAGCTCAGGATGTGCCTGGTATGGTACCAGGTAGGTCCTAGGCTATACAGCAGGGAACTAGATAGAAAAAACTCCCCACGTCATTCTAGTGGAGAAATGGACAGGGAAACATACAGTGAGGCCTTGGTGGTGTCAAGTGCCCCTGAGTCGCTTCCGACTCATGACCCTGTGTAGGGTTGCCAAGGAGTTGTTAGTGGATTCGAACCGCTGACCATGCGGTCAGTAGCTCAGTGGTTAACCTATAGCGCCACAGAAAGAGGAGGAGGGGTATTTGGGGGTGGGTGGGACTAGAGGAGACTGACCCTACATGGAGCTGACACCGGAAAGAAGGCCCAAACTGAGGTCCTTAGACCTGCCCACAGGGTAGGCTTTCCCGTGTAAGAGCTGGGAGCTTGTGAGGAATGAGCAACAAGCTAGAGAGGGATGATGTCCCAGCTTCATACCTTGTCTGCACTGAAACAAGATCAGCCCAAACCTGTGAGGTGGAGTTCAGACACATCTGCTCTGACACCAGCGGTCCTCCCCACAACATGACTTGGCTGTTGAGTTTGATCATTTATAGCAATGGGCACACACAACTCATACACCATACTTGGCTGAGGGGTTTATTAGGGAAGTAAGAGGCTACATACACCTTGGAAGACAGGATACAGTTTTTCCATCAGGACAACTTCCAACCAAGATTATCCTCAGCCTCTTGGCCTGTGCCTTCTCTTGGCCTCTCTCAGCCTATGTATGCCGCCAGCTCCTGTGTTAAAGCTCCTGTGTTAAAGCGCTCGACTCTGCCCCCAAGGCACTCTCTTGTGGACTGGCAGCCCACCTGTTTGCTGGTGCCTTTGGGAGCCACTTCGATGGCCCATATGAACTGCTCTTTTAAAAAGTCCTTCCTCTCTTACTCTGCCTCTCAAAACTTGTTGGTCAGGTTGACTTTAAAAGCAAGCTCCTCATAGCTTTCAAGGCAAGTGGTGGTTGTGGTAATGTACGCTGGAGTCAGTCCTACTCATAGTATCTTTAAAGCCTCATCTTTATCCTAAGAACTACTAGTAGTTTCCAACTGTTGACCTGGAGTTCCTGGCCAGTCGCCTAGGTAGACTATCACTTAACTTGCATGATGTTAATACTGTCAAGTCAGTTCTGACGTATCTGACACTGTATAGGGTTTCTGAGGAGCAAGCTGGTGGGTCACAGCCCAGTGCTTAATGCTACAGGGCCACACCAGGAGTTGAATTTGCATGATAATCCACTGATTACCATGAGTTCACGTAATCCTATTGGGTGGTTTTAAAACTCATGGAAGCAGCAGTCAAGAAAGCAAAAGATGTTGCACTAGGCATATCTGCTGCACAAGACCTTTTGAAAGTTGAAGAGCAAAGATGTCAGCTTGAAAACTAAGGTACGCCTGACCCAAGCCATGGTATTTTCAATAACCTCATAAGCATGCGAAAGCTGGACAGTGAATAAGGAAGATCGTAGAACAATTGATGCTTTTGAGTTAGTGCTGGAGGAGAGTACTGAAAGTGCCATGGGCTGCCAAAAGAACCAATAGATCAGTGTTGGAGGAAGTGCAGCCAGAGTGCTCCTTGGAGGCCAAGATGGCCAAACTTCGTCTCTCATACTTAAGACATATTGTCAGGAGGGACCAGTTGCTGGAGAAGGATGTCATGTTTGTTAAGGTGGAGGGTCAGAGATAAAAAGTAAGACCCGCAAAGTGGTGGTAGCATCAGTGGGCTCAAGTGTGGCAACAGTAGTGGCCCAGGATTGGGCAGTGTCTTGTTCTGCTGTGTGTAAGGTCGCTATGGGTCAGTACCAAGTGGTACCTAACAACAACAAACACCCTGTTTGCATAATTAAGTGCCCTTGTTGGTTCTGACTCAGCAACCCTGTATAGGTTTTCTGAGGAGCAACTGGTGAGTTTGAACTGTCAATGATGATCCTACTGCACCAAGCCAGGAAGCTGTTTGCATAGTAGATTAAACAATTCCTTTGTAAGATTGTGACCTACCCAGTCATTTTGGCAATGAACTCAAGTCCAGAAAGGCTACTTACGAAACCCGTGTAACTTTAGTTGAGGTCTAATAGACAAGGGGGTTGGGCAGAACATGAAAGTCATAGGTGGTCGCAGGGTCTGAGTGGGATGGCAATCATCAGAAGGTTTTGAGCAGGTTGACATGATCTGATTGAGTTTAGCAGGTGTGTGACTAGCTGGGCAGCATGCTGGTTACAATGGTGCTGCTACTGGAGCTAGAATGATTCAGACTGGCTAGTAATGGTGGTTTGCCTAGGATGGTAGTAATGGAGGGGCAACTATTTGGATCCTTACATTGTTCAGTGCTGTTGGTCTGGTTCTGACTCATAGTGACCCTGTATAGGGTTTCTGAGGAGCGGCTGGTGGGTTTAAACCGCTGACCTTGTGGTTCAAACCGATCTTGCTGTCTAGTTCTTATCTTACAGCACCATAGCAGGATTCCAAAATAGAGTAGAGACCATGTTTGACCTTCAATTTTTGAACTGCTGACCTTACTGTTAGCAACCTAGCTCTACTATCTCGGATCCTTGTTGACCCTTGCATTGGAACCTTCTGTTGTAGTCATAGTGATTCTTGGCCAAACAACCTTTGCATTTAATTTTGGTCCTCCTTACTCTCTTAAGGAAAAGAACTCTGGTGGGCCTGGGCCACAGAGGATGTCCTTGTCCTTGTGTAGGGGACAGATTAAGAGATTACAAACCAAAAAATAAAACCAATTGCCATTGAGTTGATCCCAACTCATGTCAACCCATGTGTTATTGAGTAGAATTAAACTATAGGGTTTTAAATACATATTTTTTATTGTGTTTTTGGTGAAAGTTTATATAGCAAATTGTTTTGGATCGCTAACCACAAGGTCAGCCATTCAAACCCACCAGCTGCTCCTCGGAAACCCTCTACAGAGTCACTATGGGTTGGAACTAGCATTGGTTCCGTTTTTCACAATGTCTCAATATACTCGTCAATTCTTGTTTTAATGCTTTGTTGCCAGCCACATGGTTTCCCGCTTCCCTTCCTTTTCCATCTTTGCTTCAGAGTAGCTGTTTACCATTTGGTCTCATACAGAAGACTTTTCAAAAGTGCACAATACTCACAGGTAATATTTTTTATTATATGAGTCAATTTGTTATATAGCTAAAAGTTGACTTCAGGGGAAAGGTCAGTTCAAAGTTTATGAAGTATCTCAAGGCAATAATCTCTGGGAGTCCTTTAGACTCATCTGGTCGAGTGAGTCTAAACTTTTGACAAATTGGAATTTTGTTGTATATTTTTCTCCCTGCCTATACCAACCGCTCCTCGGAAACCCCATACAGTCGCTGTGAATCAGAATTGACTCGATGGCACTTAACAACAACAATAAGGACCTGTATGTTATGACCTTGATCAGAATGCACACCTTCTGATAATAGTCTCAGGGTAGATGAGGCCACTGTGTACAGTGTTCTATAGATTTGTTTCTTCTCTGAGTCTTTAGTTTCTTTCTTTTTTGTTCTACATGAGAAGAGATTGTTTTTTCTTAGGTGGCTGCTTGAAAATTTTTGAAAAACCCCTAGCACTGCTTACAAACCAAGGCATCATAGGGTTTAGGGTTTTCTTGGCTGTAATCTTAATGGAAGAAGATCATAAAGCATTTCATCCATGACTTGCTGGGTAGATTCAAGCAGGTAACCTCTTGGAGTCCTGGTGTGGCTGCAGGCTAGTGCACTGGACGAAAGGTTGGTTTGAACACAAGATCATTGGTTCAAATCCACCAGCTGCTCCTTGGAAACTACACAGATCCTGTGAGTCGAAAGTGACTCAACAGCACTTGTCAACAGCAACCACCTCTTGGTTGCTGTTGGTGGTGGTTGTGTGCCACTGAATTTGTTCCAACTCATGTTGTTAGGCGCTATTGAGTCAATACTGACTCATAGCAACCCTATGCACAGCAGAATGAAACACTACCTGATCCTGGGCCAACCTCACAATTGTTGCCACGCTTGAGCCCATTGATGCTGCCATTTTGCCAATCCACCTCGCTGGGGGTCTTCCTCTTTTTCTCTGACCCTCCACCTTACCAAACATGATATCCTTCTCCTTAACCAAACATGGTCCCTCCTGACAATATGTCTGAAGTATTAGAGATGAGATTTGGCCATCCTGACCTCCAAGGAGCACTCTGGCTGCACTTCTTCCAATGTGGATCTGTTGGTTCTTTTCCAACTCATAGCGACTCTGTGTAGGGTTTCTAAGGAGTGGCTTGTGGGTTTGAACTGCAGACCTTGCCATTCAAACCGACCTTTTGGTCCAGTGCTTATCCTATAGTGCCACACCAGGACTCCCGAGTGGCAAATGGGTTTGAACTGTCAACCTTGTATTTTGTAATCCAGTGCTTATCTCACAGTTCCCAAATTAAAGCCCAGTTCTTTGTTCACCTCTGTTTGCTTTGTTCTGCGGTTTAGTCTGAGGACCAGGGAGAGAGGGTGTCACACCACATATAATTAGAGGCACTACATCAACAGTTCCAGAGAAGACACACCCAGCCAGCAGCAGGGCATTAACACTCT